GTGTGTGTGTGTGTGTTAGATAGTACTATTATACATTGAAAAACAAACAGAATTTGTGAAGTTGCACAGGAACTGTAGGATTCAATCTAGATTCAAAAACTTAAACAAATTCCAAAAAGTAACATGAGATCACAATAGCTTAGAAAAAGTTATGATGTTATGAGTTATTAATTCATAATTCATTATGACCCCTTTCAACTTGGAAAAATCCCATTCTACATTTCTCATTGTTCTGTTGCAATGACCAATGAGATTAAAAAAAATAAAAAAATAACTATATCTGACATAAAACCACTAACCAGTCTGTCTGTGTTTGTCTGTATTCAGTGGGATAAAGAAGCATGATTTATAAACTAAACTAATAAAATCTCCATGATGTACTCTATGGCATTTATGTCCCACTCTCATCTCAGTGTTTTTAAGAAATAGTTTTGAACATCTTTTTTTATTTTCATATAAATCATATCAGATACAGGCTGCCTATGGTTGTTGTATAAATTGTACTTATCATTTAAGTGCAAACATAAGGTAGAAACAAAACATTCTGAGAGAATCAAAAGGACATGCAATACAGAATAATATTGAAGTCATAAGATTCACTATAAAATATTTCCAAAATTCTATTACATTTATTCTAACTTTTCTAATACAAAGAATATTGGCAGAAAGAACACAAGCATGAATCAAGTTTCAAATCAAAATGAATTTTTTGGATTTTGTTGCCCTGAGAAGAATCACTTACCTTATTGATAAAATAGGTATGGCATAACTCCTTCTCTTATACAACTCAGCATTTCTGTAAATAATAGGAGCAGGTAGCTGTCTTACATAGAAGGTATAATTAAAAATCAACCATTTATTAGTAAATATGAGCAACATATATTATATACATATAGAAAATATCTTAATGAAACTCATTTTGCACAATCAATATACACTGTTAGTAGAAGAGTTCATCAATGTCACCTTTATATTGGGAAATCTCTTTGGTGGTGGCTAAAAGTTCACAGTGAGTCTTCAGATAAATAGAAGGTTTTTTGTATTCATGATGAATATCACTCAGATGATTAAAGATGTTCAATGAGTCATGCCCTACAGAATGTCCTTTCTAAACAATGCTATTCAGAGTCAGGATGGGATTTAAAGGCCAGTGCAAGAGGAACTTGAGAAAATTATACAGATTGTGCAAGCTCTGAAGAGTTCCCCTGTGAGATTACCTGAAGAATTATCATCCACTTTTCCCAGAGAAGATACAATTAGTCTGCCTGTTGGGATCAAAAATTTTGGTATGTTTTTAAATGAAATTTTTTAAGTAATATTTGAAATTATGTAAATTAGTGTGGGAAAAACTGTGGTCAATCTACCACAGTTGCTTGCTGCACCCCATGGCCAGGCCAGCCTGACCTAGAAACATCAATGAGGAAAGGACAACATAGCAGAGTCAGCTGCCTAAACCAACAGGACCTTGGAAGGAGTTATAAAGGCAGGTCTAAATTACGTAGTAAATGAGTCTGCAACAGACTCTGCTACTCACTCATTCCCAGTGCCTGAATCATTGGTGCTGTGTTTTCTCACCCCTTTCCCCAAGGGGTGTCTACGTAGGGTAACCAGCAGCAAATTAGTGAGAAATCAGGAGATACTTCTTTTCTCTTTTTTATAAGTTTCATTAAATTTGTTCTTTGACAACCTTATTTTTGTATAATTACCCAGTCTTATTACTTTCGTCCTATCTTGGCTTGTCTCCCTTCACCTTCTGCCCCCACAGCAGACCCTCAATCACATTCATGACTTTGGTGATTCATTGAGTTTAACCAGTACTATGTAATTTGCCTAAGATTTGTAACTATTCATTGGTTCCTAGTTGGACTCACCAGTGGGTACACAAATGATCTCTCCCCCAAAGAAGTGTAAAGTTCTATGAGCCCCTCCTATAGCCATATTGATTTTGACAGGAACAGTTCAGTTTGAGAAGTTTCAGGAAGTAGCTGTTGTAAAATCATAATTACAAAGGTTACCTCATACTTTGAAGACATTTTGAAGATCTTCTCCATATTTTCTGGCACTCATATACTTTCTACCTCCTCCTATGTGATGTTCTCTGAGCCTTTGAATGAGTGACATAAATGGCCCCTTTAGATCTGAAAACCCAATATCTCTTATTCTTAGCAAGTTGAGCAGCCAAGTGTCTCTTTATACACCATCATAGCATAAATTTTTATGTATTGTTGCTATATATTGTGCTGGTCTAGTCAACTAGAGGTTACTGGTTTTCTTTCAATACACATAACCTAATGAGCAGTAAGTAGTTATATAGGTTTCCAGTACCAGGAATGGTATTTCTCTTGTTGCCTGAGACTCAAGTCTAATTAGAAAACTGTTGGTTACTGCTAAGGTATTCCTGACACTATTGCACCTTTAGGGTTAATACACAATGTTATTGTTTTATGTGGTTGATAGACATCATATCTGGGTAGAATTCTTGGTTATCTTCATCCTTTGGAGGCTTACATAGTGCCTTCTGTTATGAAGAAAACTGATCTGGTCAGGGAGATTTTCAGATTAGGGGTTTATGGGCTCTGTTCCTGAAGTTCATGGTGTCTTCAGCAATAATTACTCTCTTTCTGCCTCTGGGGGGGGCGGGTGGCCAATGAAGGGCAACAACAATAAACTGTATTGTTTGTGTGTTTCTTAGACATTCCTGCCAACAATCAAAAGAAGGCTTTTCATGGCTATTATTAATGCTTTTGTTAGGTGGTCTTTGGCTCTTGGAGGAACCATTATAAGTCCATAAGATAAAACATTTTTTAACTATGCATGTATATTTATTTATAAACTTAATTACATGCATTATTGTGTTTGTTTTACTAAATAGTTAAAAGTATGATTGCTTGTGACTTTTTCAGACTTCATAATTGTTATTTTATACACCTTCCTCTTTCTTCTGTATGTCTCTTCATCTTATCCCTAAAGAGTCCCCCTTTTACCATTTTCCATGTGAGTTCACTTGCATCCAACTATTCTCCTTCATTCTCTTCCCATGAAAACCAAAACCCATAATCAATCCAAATGAACAGTTTGGAAGCCTTGTCACAGTAAATACAAAACACTCATGCACTTAAGTTTTGGGAAACACTGCTATAGAGAATGTGGAATGATATTAACAGATAGAGAATCACAGAGTTTGCTATGAGATTCTATCTCCCAATAATATCAAACCTACATCCATGAATTGTCAACTACGAGATAGGCCAAACTTGACCAGAAAAGGAATGACCAAAGTGGACAGGGAAGTCTATAATGCTACAAGCCTACACAAAGAAATTTGTACAACTGAGAAAAGCTGAGAGCATAAATTATTTTCTCCAGGGAAGAGCACATCCATTAGATATTCAAAATGAAGACATCAGCCTGAATACATGCATACAACATTATATGGACTGAACTGGTATATTTACGGATATATATATATATATATATATATATATGTGTGTGTGTGTGTGTGTGTGTGTGTGTGTGTGTGTGTGTGTAAATGTATGCATGCAATAACAATTAGTAAAATAACAGGGATGAATTTGCAGGAGAGTACAGAAGAGTATATTGAACAACTTGGAATGAGAAAATGGGAGGGATAATTGATGTAATAATATTGTAAACTCAAAAAGAAAAAAGAAGAAAAAATTGAAACAAAAAATAAGTATATTTCCACCTTGTGTTTTCATAATTTTGATAAACCTTCTCTGTTCCATCATGTCTACATCTATGATTAAACCTTAATGATCTCCAGTCACATTGACATTGCTATAACTAATAGAATATTTGTATGATAATTAGTATATATTATATACATGTCATTTTCTTTATGGATATCATTCCATTCCCTTTGTATTATGATTAGCACTGCAAATATTGTATAGTGTCATAGTGTGTTATTGTTGTTTTCAAACTGATTTTTTTCTTTTGAATTTTTACTCAGTACAGGGTATGGGATGTTCTCTATAATTAACTGTAGTGGATATGTTAATCTATATTCGTGCCAGAAGTATGCAGCAGTTACTCTTTCCTTGCCTTTGCCATAGTAGATTCTGTGTTAAGGTGACAGTCACTTGTGGTTTGTACTATTCCAGTGCCAGGATTACAGATACCTGACACACTGCTCAGATTTCACATAGGTTCTTGAGATCTAACTCATGAAATTCTGTTTATACAGTAAGCACTTTTCCCATTGAGTCATCTCTCACGCTTTGCAGATTTACTTTTCCTAAATTCATGGGATTAGGAAAGATAGTAAGACCTGTATTGAACCATCTGTATAATAAACAGCCAAGAAATATTATTGGAAGATTCAACTGAATATCTGATAATGATGAAGGAAAAATGTAATTAGTATATTCTTGGAGACTGACAAAATACATATCACTCAAGAACAAACTTAAAGAAGGAGGTAGCTCCTTTTTCCAATACTTTCAACCTTATTTGGGTGAGCCCTCCATGGATTAGATGAGGAAAAGAACTGACATTTTTAAAGTAAGTCTTCTTGTTTCAAGTAGCGTGTTGTAAATACCACCTTGTATTCTACCATTAAACAAACACTAAATATTGTATGTGTTTATTTGGATATCCCTATGAAATGAGAACAATTAAATAACACAAGGGTATTTTCATGTTACAGTTAATCTAGAAATTTTCTAAAATCCATTTGTGTAATACATCTTTTCAAGACACCTATGAGTGTCTTTCTATATGCATAGATTTCTATTGATGTGACAGAAAAAAATTATTACAAGAAAATCATTGAATATGATAACACAGTCATTTGGGTTTTCACAATCTATTCAGGTTTTACTCTTCTGAACAAGATGTTATCTTTTTGCAGAGGAGATGTCGCTTCAAGTTCTTGGATTAAGTGTAGTGAGGAAAATATGATTCAGTAGAGAATAAAGAAAAGAAAAATGGTTCCAGAAGATGTGCATCCAAAAAGTTAAAATAAAGCTGTAACATTATTATGACCTCAATACAATCTTTGTGAATGCACTCTTCACCTCCTTATTCCTTAGGCTGTAGACAAGAGGGTTCAACATGGGGATGACCATAGTATAGAAGACAGATGCAATTTTGTCAGTGTCCATAGAGTGATGGGAGCTGGGCTGCAAGTACATGAATATGACTGTCCCGTAAAAGATGGAAACAGCTGTGAAGTGAGAGGCACAAGTGGAAAGAGCTTTTTGATATCCTGTAACTGAGTGTATCTTTAGTATATTGATAAAAATGAAAATGTAGGATATTAAGATAAGTATAAGAGCAAAAAAGATATTGAAGCTGGCTACATAAACAAGAACCAGGTCATTGATATGTCTATCAGAGCAAGATACAATCATTACTGCTGGAATGTCACAGAAAAAATGGTGGACCACATTGACCTCACAGAAAAAGAGACTTAATGCATTCACAGTATAGATGGAAGCATTCAATAAACCACAGATATAACAGCCAATGACTAAACATGCACACACACCTGTTGTCATGGTGGTGGCATAGTGTAGGGGCTTACACACTGCTGCATAGCGATCATAGGCCATTGAAACCAAAAGGTAGTTTTCTACATTGGCAAAAGTTGCAAAAAAGAACATCTGAGAGGCACATGCATTGTAGGACATGATCTTGTCTCCTGAAAGTAATCCAGCTATAACCTTTGGAGTGACTGTTGAAGAGTAACAAAAGTCTACTAAGGACAGGTTACTGAGGAAAGTGTACATAGGAGTGTGGAGCCGGGAGTCCAAGAGAATAAGTAGAAACAACCCCAGGTTCCCCACAAGGATAATAGTGTAGATGAAGAGGAAAGTAATGAAGAGGGGAAGCTGCAGGTGTGGGTCATTGGTGAGTCCCAGAAGGATGAACCATGTCACTTCTGTCTTATTCTCCATCAATGATATCAGTTAATCAACAGAAAGCTTTAAGGAAATTTTTAAAAGAGTAGAATAAGGGTCTGGAGAAATGGTTCAACAATTACAAGCACTGGCTTTCTATTCCAAAGCACTCAGAACTTACCTGGCAGCTCACAACCATCTATAACTCCAGTATCAGGGGTTCTGATGCCATCTTCTCGACACCTCAAGAATAAGACACACATTGTGAACAGATACAGATGTAGGCAAAGCACCGATACAAATAGAATATTTTTTAAATTAAGAATAAGGTAATAAAGGAATTTGAATCTTTGGCATGTTATTTCTTTTCTACCAAAAATTAAATGTATATTTATTAACAAGATGCAGTTTAATAATCATATAAAATGGTTATTTTAATGTATCTATGTGCCAATTCACTTTTCCAGGGATCTGTAAAACTGACTCTACTGTGTTTCTCTGCCAAGTGCTACTATAGAAACAGCCTGTTCTCTGTTCATAATTTAATGACTTTGATAAATTGTTATATCCATTTAAATTGTGAAGCACAGAGAAAAAAATTTCTGCATATTTAAGTAATATAATTACCAATATCTGTTGGGATCCAGGTAAACTTTTCACCCATTGCAAGCTAATTATCTAAATTATTTAACTTGATTACAATGAAAAATTGTTCTCTTCTGTATAATCACAGTGACATAAGTAGCAAAATTATGCTAATTTTATCTTGGTCACTAAATAGTTGCTCTCATTAAAGGTCAATCAAGTGAGTACTCCCTAACTCTGAAGTGTTTCTTCTGAATACTAAAATGTTCTGAAGGAAGTAATGAGTTTGAATTGCATTTTAACTCTTCTTTCCACACATGTTCTCATGTTTTTAATATAGCACATCTAGATACATTGATAAGGATATATCCAGAAGCATGAAGTTATGATTGGCTCAAACAAGGCTTTATGTTGAAGCAAATATTGTTCAGCAATGTACATACTAGATCTGTTGGAAGAGTGTTCAATCTTAGAAGCAGTTTGGAATGATGAAATATCATTAACTAAAAGAGAGAGTTCAAGTTCTTGGAAGAGATACATACCAGATCAGCCACTGGAAAGTTAGAAAGCACCTAACTTTTCTAAACACTACATTGCCATCTGCAAAAGGAAGACAGTAATGAGGCCTGCTTGGGATATTTTTGGGAAAATAAAGTAATATATCAAAGGCAAGAAAATGCTGGTTGTTAAGCAAAGTTTGAGTACTACTGACCATGTTGTCATTATTATGTTATAATAGCATATAGGGCTTTAGTTCTGAATAAGATTTAGTCTTGAAGATTTTTCTCTCAAAATTGCCTTTTCTGCATTTGGGACTCTTGGATTGCCTGTGCCTTCTCATGATTTTTTTTTTTTTACTCTAAGTATATTAGTGCTGGTTATGCAATCTCACATGAAACATTCCTTTCAAAAGTTTCACTCTTGTAATCCTTAATTTTAGATTATACTTTCCTCTTTTGTTGATTTTTAGTTTTCTTTTTCTAGGAATATCATCCCACAGTAAGAACAGAGGCTAAGGAGCACATGTTCCTAGTTTATGGTCTTTGTTTATCTCATAGACATATTGTCCTTATAGTCTAATGATATTTAAACTTTGTTTGACTTAGCATATTTGGAAGGATATTAACATTAACAATTATTTCCTATCATCATTTTTGATCTTTTGGCAGTGATAACTATGTATGTGTATATTGAAACCATTTTAGTTGACAATCCATGTCATAGGATGACTTTTAAAATTTTCTATATTATCTACAAATACTGTGGTGTGTGTGTGTGTGTGTGTGTGTGTGTGTGTGTGTGTAAAGTAGAATAGGAAGTACCATTTCTTACTTTGTTAGAAAACTTATTATCTAAGAAGTTGCATGGTTTTATCAATTATTGTACATGGTATGAAAAACATTCAGGGTGTAAGACTTAAGATCCCATGCAACAATGAGACTGAACTCTTGGCATGAAGATTGACATGTGGCTGAAAAAATATTCATTTATTTCTATCCCTTCATTAGTGTGCAGAAAGATTATGTTATCTTACAACTATCTTTTAATCTCCAAGCAAATCAAACATACAGTGAAAAAATAAGTTATATCAACCAAATTACATTTTATATTTCTTCTGAGAATAACTATTTCATGAATCATTAAGTCTCCTGTAGTATTTTAACAACTGCACATTTACTCAGCATTTCACAAGTAGGTTTAGAAAAGTAACCCTTTAGCTTGTAAACTCTTTTAGATCTCAAAATTATTTTTAAGCAACTGTTTTCAAGTAATTCACCAATATACATACACATATACACATACACATACATACATACATACATACATACATACATACATACATACATACAGCCAGTTTTAGTAGGGAAATGTTTTACATAAAATCATCCTTCTAAAATCTTAAAAATCCCCTATGCAGTATTTCACAATCTTCTTCAAGACGCTTGCTCTTAGAAAGTGATCAATGTTTCAACCCTGTCTAATGGAAGATGAAAAGAAAGAAATTCTGCACAGATCAAGTTCTGAATTCACCCTTGGAAGACTCACTTACCTCCTTATTAGAAATACATACTACAAGAAAAGCAGACAAGACTCCCATAGTTCCCAGGTTGTATCTGTGAGGAAACCCATAAAGAACTTGCCAGATAAGAGTCGGTCAATGTGATTTTTACCTTTGGGTGTTTCCATTCAGTTTGCTTGAAGGCCCACAGCTGATCTTTAGGTGAGTCAGAGGACCTACATGTTTTAACAATGATTTCCATTCAGAAAATGAAGAGCATCTAATAGAAAATGCATACAGTTTGCCCCTAGTGAGCCTCAGTGAGATTTCAAAGGCTAGTGCATAGATGTGTGGAGAGAAATAAAGACACTCAATGAGCTCAGGATGGTTCCCCCCAGAGTATATATGAAGATTCTCATCCTGTCTTCTTAGAAGAAAAGCAATTAACTAGCCTTGGGGACCAAACTAGTTTCTACATCATAGAAGTTAAATTTCCTTTTTAATGGCTAAATAAAAACACAAAAGTCATACATATTAATGAGACACCATGCAGTATTTCTACACATAATGTATATTGTAAAAGTTCAAGTTAGGTTAAGCAATATATTTTTGTGGTAGAAATATTCAAAATCCTTCATCCTAGCATTTTCTCTTCATTTCTTCTAAAATTTCTTTTTATTTCTCCTAGTCTTTCCAAACACATAATACATTATTGTTATCTATAGTAGCATTTGTGCCCAATAGTATATTTCAGCTTCTTCTTCCTAGTCAACTGTAACTTGGCATAATATCCAAAGATCATTTATTATTCTTTTACTCCTCAGAAAACTCTGCATCACATTTTTTAAAAATCTACTTATTTCTACTGACCACTAATTAATTTTAAAAAATTATTACAGCCTCATAAAAAAAGTTTGCAATGAACCTTCAGCTTTCATTGTGTACAACAATTTGAGGAGTATTGGTATTGGCTCTTCTTTGAATTTCTGGTAGAATTCTGTACTGAAAACATCTGGCCTTGGGCATTTTTTGTTTGGGAGAATTTTCATGACAGCTTCTATTTTATTGGAGGTTACAGGTATATTTTAATTGCTTCTCTGTCTTCATTTAATTTTAGTAAGTGGAACCTATCCAGAGATTTTTCCATTTCATTTGAATTTTTGAATTTATGGAGTACTGAATTTCTTCAGTGCCTGTTTTTATGTCCCCCTTTTATTTCTGATTTTGCTAATTTGCATGTTGTCTCTCTACTTTTTGGTTAGTTTAGATAAACATTTGTCTATCTTGTTGATTTTCTTGAAGAAACAACTGTTACATTGATTATTTGTACTGTTTTCCTAGTTTTTACTTTATTTACTTCAGCCCTTAAATTGATTATTTCCTAGCATCTACTATTCTGGGATGAGTTTTCTTCATTTTGTTCTAGGACTTTAAGTTGTGCTGTTACTTCTCCATTGTGACTATCCTTCATTTTCTTCATAAGGATACTTAATGCTATGAACTTTCCTCTTAGTACTGCTTTCAAATAGTCCCACAAGTTTGAATATTTTGTGTCTTCATTCTCATTGCATTCTAGGAGGCCTTCAACTTCTTTATTTCTTCCTTGACACAGGAATGGTGCAATTGCTCATTATTCAGTTTCTATGAGTTTGTAGGATTTCTGTAATTTGTTTTGTTGTTGAATTCCATGGGACCTCCTGAAACTGAGAAGCTTCTGTAAGGCAAAAGACAGTCAACAAGACAAAATGGCAGGCCACATAATGGGAAAAGATCTTCATCAACCCCACATCTGACAGAGGGATGATTTCAAAAATATACAAAGAACTCAAGAATCTAGTCAACACAACACCAAATAATCCAATTAAAAAGTGGGGTACAGAACTAAATTGAGAATTCTCAATAGATGGGTATAAGATGCTTAAGAAAGTACACAACATACTTTGCCATGAGGGAAACGCAAACCAAAACAGCTCTGAGATACCATCATACTCCTGTCAGAATGGCTAAAATCATAAACAACAATGACAGTTAATGCTGGAGAAGATGTGGAGAAAGGGGAACACTCCTAGACTGCTGGTAGGAGTACAAACTTTTACAGCCAATTCGGAAATCATTATAGCAGTTCATCAGGGAAATTGGAATCAGTCTACCACAAGATCAAGTAATTCCACTCAGGAACATACTCAAAAGATGTACATTCATGCAACAAAGACATCTGTTCAACTTTGTTCATGGCAGCATTATTTGTAATAGCCAGAACCTAGAAATAACCGAGATACCCCTCAACTGAAGAATGGATAGAGAAATTGTAGCACATTTACACAATGGAGTACTACTCCTAGGGAAAAGAAAACAATGGAATCTTGAGATTGAAAGGCAAATGATGGAACTGGAAGAAACCATCCTGAGTGAGATAACCCAGTCACAAAAAGACAAACATGGTATGTACTCACTCATATATCGATTTTAGACTTAAAGC